ATCTGTGTGGTTTCAGTTTCCAACTGCTGGGTAACAGAGGCAAAAAGACATGATTGATAGAATATTTTGAGTGGGATCATTCTCCTTGTTCTGAGACTTAGGGCCTCTGCTGCAGACACCTTCAAGCATCAGCTGGAGGAAGTGGGATATTCATACCAGCACATGTCCAAGACTTTACTCAGATAGGTTGTTTCGATGCCGTCCTTGCTGGTGTTAGACGCATTATCTGAGATTCGATTTTATTTAAATCATTTCAGTTTCATTCATGTAGATAAAGCAGAAGCAGCTCTCTAGCTTACACAAGCTCCAAGTTATTCATAAATAGCACAGACATTTCTCTCTCCTGATCTGCAATCTGCAGAACTCCTTTTAGGATTAGAGATGTTCCTTTTTTTGTTTTTTTGGTTTTTTTTTTCTGAGATGGAGTCTCAGTCTCTTGCCCAGGCTGCAGTGCAGTGGCTCGATCTTGGCTCACTGCAACTTCCGCCTCCCAGGTTCAAACAATTCTCGTGCCTCAGATGCCCAAGTAGCTGGGATTTTACAAGCGCTCACCACCACACCTGGCTAATTTTTGTATTTTTAATAGAGACAGGGGTTTCATCATGTTGGCCAGGCTGGTCTGGAACTCCCAACTTCAAGTGATCTGCCTGCCTCAGTCCCCCCAGTGCCTCAGTCTCCCACAGTGCTGGGATTACAGGTGTGAGCCACTGCATCCGGCCCCCTTGTCATTTTGAAAGCCAGCAGAGAGGAGCTTATGACCAAGTTCTTTCCGACTTAGGTCATCCAGGCAGAAACCCGAGGACTTAGCTGTGCAGGCTGTGACCAAGACGCTTTCCAGTAAAGACTGACCAAGACCTTAGACTGCAAGATAGATGCCTTTCTGTTGTTTCAGGAGTACGGGGACTTGGCAAGTCCACAAAGAGAGTATACACTTGCTTTACCTAAAATAAGAGTGTTTCCTTAAAAAACACTCAATGTAGTCTAAGGTGCGTAATGCCATGGATTTGTAGCATCTGTAGATATCCAAAAAATATGGAGACTTCTAAAATCTCTAGATTTCATTACTGAGCAATCTTTCTGACTCGAGTACTCTAACAGACTTTCAGCAGATATGCAGGACTACGGTTTAATCATCGACGGAGCGGCACTGTCTCTGATCATGAAGCCTCGAGAAGACGGGAGTTCCGGCAACTACAGGGAGCTCTTCCTGGAAATCTGCCGCAGCTGCAGCGCGGTGCTCTGCTGCCGCATGGCGCCCTTGCAGAAGGCCCAGGTCCTGCCCGCCCATCCTCAACAGCTGCTGGTCAGGGCGTCCGAAACACTGAGAACCTCCCATTAGGTCTCACCACCTCGGATTGTTGAAAATTCTAACAGGGTACCACCTGTTAAAATAGAAGCAATCATGATAGAAATTTAAAACTCGAACCTTATTTTGCTTGTTGGGCCGGCCTCGGTGATTAGTGAGTGTTGACCAGACATGTGACCATTCCAGATGCAGCGGCCAGGACAGCTGCCCTGGCTGACTCCTGTTTTTGTTGTTTTTTTTTTTAAAAAGCCCATCTCAGTCAGTCCTGAGAATGCACACTACAGGTGTAGGGGAAGACAGCTGACATTATTGAGCACCTGGCGTGAGCTCTCACAGACACGAATGCATTTAGCCTCAGCATCACCCTGACAGACGAGTGAGGGCATCCAGCTTTACAAACTGGAATAATTTGCCCAAAAGGCTGCCGTTGGGAAATGCCATGAGGATTCAACTTGTCTTGTCCATCAAACTCCAAACGTCTCACTCTGCTATGTTCTTTGGGAAACACTCACCCTGAAATTTTTTCTTTAAATACTTTTAGAAGCATTGTGGAATATACGTGTAAATATGGATGTCTTTCTAATATCAGGAAGCCTAGAAAAGTTCCAACTTTGTTATACCACATTTAAGGTAAATTAGGCCAATTTCTCTTGAACCGTTCATGAATAAATTCATTATTGGTCAGAGCAACCCATTGGGTAAGGTAAAATACGTCTTGAACAAATTCTGGAAACCAGAGGTAAAAAGTTGAGCATTTGTGCATGTGGGTGCACTAATCTGTCACTTTCACTAAATATACACAACAGGGTCCTTCTCAGAATGACGAGCTGAGCCCAGAGCATTCACAGACATTCCCTGTGGGGAAGACGGTCTGATGTCCCCTCTCCCTCACATCTGTAACAGCACGTAAACCTTATAGGGTTACTTCCCGAACGGAACAGCAGCTAAGGGCTTTCCATTGGCTCTTCATGTATTTATTTCATAGTACTTTCTTAAGTCCTCCACTGGCTTTTGAAAAGTTTCATACAAATTAAGTTGTGTCTCAGTTTTCCATCTTGAAACAAGAAGGCACCCCACATATTTCCCCCATCTCTTCATTCTTACATCTTGCACATACATGGAAAGAAAAAGACTATAAAGCAATTGACCAAAAACTTGGAAATTATTTTTACATGAAATTTTGTCATATTTGATTTTGTACATGTTATAAATTTAAAAATTAAAAGAGCATCATTAGGAATAATTTATTTTTAGAAAGAGATGCTTTATACCAAATAGCTTGAAGTAGCTTGGAATAGTAATGTCTTCTAACAGAATGCAAGGTTCGCATTTGCCCCTGTATATTTAAATGTATTTTCCCAGTATTTATACATTTTCCATTTATTTAAATAGATGAATATAACAGTAACGAAGAACTGCTTCATGTGTCTCACGTCTCCACCGCCAGGGTTTGCCTGCCAGCCTTTTCCAGCCCACGCCATTTTAATCATACCTCGTTTTGTTCTGCTTTCAATATGAAGCAGGTTTTATCCTATATAGAGAAAACAGAATGTAGTAAGTTAGCTCCAAGCAGATAGATGGTTTTTTACTTGGCCAGACTAACTTTACATCTTTGTTATTTCTGCCTAGTGAATGAATAACCTGCTCAGAAGTGAAACAGGCAATCAATTCTGCATTTCTCTCTTCTGCAGATTGTCAAATTAATCAAATTTTCAAAAGAGCACCCAATCACCTTAGCAATTGGCGATGGTGCGAATGATGTCAGCATGATTCTGGAAGCGCACGTGGGCATAGGTGAGCCTCGCCCTGGCTGCCGGCACGTCCTGGTGGCCAGGTCTCCCCTCCGCTAGACAGAGGCCCACGGCAGCACGCAGGTGGTGCGTTCAGGACACCCCCGTCACCACCCTCATGTGTGACCAGCAAGGCTCGTGACGGTGGCTTCGTCAGGTCTTTTCCTGTCGCTGCCCGGGTGTGGTGTGCCGAAACGGTGTCCTCAGCTCCTTCCCCTCCACCTTCTAGGTGTCATCGGCAAGGAAGGCCGCCAGGCGGCCAGAAACAGCGACTATGCAATTCCGAAGTTTAAGCATTTGAAGAAGATGCTGCTTGTTCACGGGCATTTTTATTACATCAGGATATCTGAGCTCGTGCAGTACTTCTTTTATAAGGTAGGAGATGGCCGCTCTGTGTCGCGGTCTCAGCAGCAGATCATGCACAGGGTGGCCCCACCTTTGTTTGAGCCACTTGATGCCCCAAGGGATCGTTGATCTCAAAGTAGAAGCAACTGTCATGAAGGAGGGGGGAATCTGATTGTAGTCATCCCCCC